AGATAATACAGGGTGAGTGTTCTAAGCTGTCCTAAACAGATTACAGACGAACGGCTGGACATACAGAGATGAAAAAAAAACCTTTACCCACTAACTTATACCCAATGAACGACGTAAAAATATTTTTGCCGTTTTTTAAATACAGGGTGTTCGAGAAACTCGAGATCATGGGTTCGAATCTCAGTGTTCAAATGTAAACATATGTCATGTTGTGCATCATTTTAAAGCTCTAGACTAGATTAACAATTTAGTGAAATCATAACTCCTTTATCTTCACTAAATTGTTCGTCTACAATTGTAGTCTAGAGCTTTAAATGATGCATAGCTTTACATATGTTCACTTTTGAAAACTCTGAAATTCGAATCCATGACCCCCAGTTTCTCGAACACCCTGTATTTTAAAAATGGTAAAAATATTTTTACGTTGTTCCTAGGGTATGAATTAGTTGGGAAAAGTTTTGTTTCATCTCTGTATGTCAAGCCGTTTGTCTGTAATCTGTTTAGGACAGCTTAGAAAACTCGCCCTGTAAGTAACGTTAGATGTCACATATAACAAGATGTTATTTCGGTTTTTACAGTCAACAGATATTACGTGTGTAATAGTGTCATGTCGGATTTTGTTCGGATTTCCGTTTTAGTAAGAGGTACTAGAATTAATTGAAGATTATTGTTGTAGTGATAAAATTATATATAAGTAAGTATTTAACTAGTAGAGGTTTGTAGCTAGTATGCAGTTTAATATAACGATATTATGAAATATTACTAATATGTATTTAAAATCCCAGTTTTATTAAGTGGAACTTACGGAAAGTAAATAAAAGAAACGTCTTATAACACTTAAAACATATATTTACGCTTATACTGCTACTCACCAGACGGTAAATATACAAAACAGATGGTAAGTGGTGATCGATTTCGATTGGACACTCTAATCATCATCAGACCCAATAGGCGAATGACGAGAATCTTGAATGGCGTCCCTACTTATACCCTATTGGCTACCGGAAGCACCGGCCAATACATTTTTATAAGTACAACTGGAATCAAAATGTATTTGTTCATTAATCAACTTATTTCTATTTTTACATTTTTCCTTATAAATATACAATTCTTCCCAAGCATTCATTACATATCCATCATATCATTCATATCATTATATTGAAGTTTCACTCGGCTACTGCTTTGCATCATTGTATTGTTCCTATACTGGTTTTGTTTTTCGAATACTGTATCTCGTTTTGTCAACTTGCTCAGATAGTTTGTTATTTATAGTTGTAACTTATAGTTTGTTATTCAAAGTTAGTTATTTATAGTTTGTTATTTATAGTTGTTATTTATCTTTTTATGTCTTGTTTTGAAGTTTTGTTTTCCAGTTTTTTTTTCACTACTCTTACACCTATAAATGTTTTATAAAACCCTGTGATTTTGGGTCGTAACTGAATGAGTAAATTACAACTGGATGACAACAGGTAGGTTGTCTGTTTGTATGAGCGTTTGTACTGACCTGTGATTTTTTTTCTGCTTCTGATGTAAGATTATTGTATTTACATGTAAAAATGGTGCATCCGTTAATAAATAAATAAATAAATATCCTTTCTTACAATTCTTTAAAATATCAAGACTATCCTCAATTTTTCCTAGTGAGTGGCCATTTTGTAACAGGTGTTGTGCGACATTTGATCTTTCCGGTTTGTTGTTCCTCCACGCAGATATGTGGTTTTTGAAGCGGTTAATGAAGTTCACAGTCTGTCCAATGTAGAAGTTATCACAATCGTTACAATTGATTTTATAGATACCCGAAGCGTCGAATCTGTTGAAATCTTCTATTTTCGGATGCAGTATTTTACTCATGTGTTCTGAGTCCTGTAGGCTATTGAAACTCCGTATTTCTTGAATCTGTTAGCAGTCCTTTGTGTTGTAGTCCCCGTGTAGCTAAATGTGATATATCTGGTGTTTTCCTCTTTTATCTCTTCTAATGTTGTTCTGCTGTGTAGTGTATTCTGCCTATCGATTTTCCTCCTCGTCTTCCTTGCGATGTCCTCTATCGTCTTGGTTCGAAATCCATTAACTTGAGCGATCTTCTTAATGGTGTCCAGCTCTTTCTTCCTAATGGCTTGGTTGGAAAGATCAAATGTCGCACAACACCTGTTACAAAATGGCCACTCACTAGGAAAAATTTAGGATAGTCTAGATATTTTAAAGAATTGTAAGAAAGGATATGTAATGAATGCTTGGGAAGAATTGTATATTTATAAGGAAAAATGTAAAAATAGAAATAAGTTGATTAATGAACAAATACATTTTGATTCCAGTTGTACGTATAAAAATGTATTGGCCGGTGCTTCCGGTAGCCAATAGGGTATAAGTAGGGACGCCATTCAAGATTCTTGTCATTCGCCTATTGGGTCTGATGATGATTAGAGTGTCCAATCGAAATCGATCACCACTTACCATCTGTTTTGTATATTTACCGTCTGGTGAGTAGCAGTATAAACGTAAATATATGTTTTAAGTGTTATAAGACGTTTCTTTTATTTACTTTCCGTAAATTTAATAACACGTACAATGCTGATCAAGAAGATATTAAGTGGAACTTGTATAAAGTTATCATTTTTTACTGTATTGAAACGGTTTTATACTGAAATACCTCCTCTTCATCGTTGACCAGCCTGGGCCGGATAGATAGCGTCAAAATAATTTAAAACTACTATTTACAATTTTACAATTAAATAAACATATATTTAAAATATACTGACTGCGCAGCGGCGGTGGATGCTTATGCTAGCGACAGTGTTGTTGAGATTTCAAAATATCCTTCAATTGAGTAAAATGGGTTTGCTAGGAGATGTTCCTTTAAGTTCTTGGTGAAAACCTTATCTTCCATGTTTACTAAACATTTCGGCAGGGCATTAAACATCTTAACAGCAACCAAGAGATAGCAAACTATCTCTTGTCATAGCCAGCCTACATCTAGTTGTGTTCAGTTTGTGGGCTCCCCTAATGTTGTGATCATGCTTTTCCCCTATGTTTTCATGCAGATGCAAGTTGGATTTTATATGAAGCAGGCAACTGAATATATATTGGTTGTATACTGTCAATATGTTAAGTTGCTTAAAGATGGGTTTACATGGCTGCGATCTTTTACTTCCAGTTACAATTCTTATTGCTTGTTTTTGTAGCTTTAGTATACGGATACACCCTGATGAGTGGCCCCAGAGTAAGATTCCATAATTTATATGACTATGGAATAATGAAAAGTATATTGTCATAAGGTACTTCTGCGTGGTTTGATGTTTGAGTTTTCTGAGGAGAAAAATGACACGCCTTAGCCTAAGGCACACAGCATAGACGTGGGAGTCCCATTGTAACTTGGGATCCAAGACAAACCCTAATAGTTTTACTGGCTCATCTTGAGATGGAGACGTTTTGCTGAGCGTTAATATAAGCTTCTGAGTTTTGGCTTCATTTAGTTTAAGGCCATTGTGCCTGTTATAGATCAAGAAGTTATTTATGTTAGTTATGATTTTGTTATATACGTCTTACATCCAAATGTTGCGAAGTAACTATATTTAGAAGGCCTAGAACCATGACGTCACCAATGGGACTGAACGAGGAGATCGACAGTTGAAGTAATGCAGCAGGTTAGTAAGCAAGCTAATAGTGTCTTCTCTTGTGTGATTCTAAAATGCAATAATGGCGACGAGGCCAAGTTAACCGAACCTGAATTTCGATACGCGTGCATTGAAAAGTTTCATTATTTTGTTGGTGCGGAGTTTAAAAAAGTTACTTTTTTTCGTTTTCAGCATATTGATATTTTTTGTTAGTGGAGTGGAGAATATTACACAATTTAGGAGTTGATGAAAACGTGGCATCGTTTTCATGAAAGTTTGTCTGTTCCTGAAAGTTTGTCGAATCATGCAAAAAGTTTGCAAATATTAAAATTTTTCATATGAAATTTGAAATTGAGTTAAAGAAAAGCCTGGAAATATGATTATGGAAGATGTTATGGAAACATCTGAGCTGTAAAATATTGAAGATATACCTAGATTGGCAGGTTAGGTACTTTGTCATCCTAGGCCTATGTTAGCCTAGGCCTACCGTGGGTAGCCTACATACTGGATCTAGAAGCCGTAAGTTGCATATATATTATAATAATCTCTATTCAGTGACTTACTGTCAGAGATGGCTGCCAAACAAGTTATTTGTAAAATTCAAGAATTTAACAAGGACTTGGAACCTTTTGAAAATTATATTGAGAGGCTGGAATTTTTCATGAAAGCTAATGATATAAAAGATAATGCTAAAGTCCCCTTATTTATGTCTATTATGGGACCTGACCTATATTCAGTGTTAAAGAATTTGCTACTACCGGATAAACCGGCTGATAAAACGTATGAGGTAATCATAAAAACTTTGAGGGATCATTTCATTCCTAAGAAAAATGTGACTTACGAAAGGTTCATGTTTAATAAACGGACTCAACAAGAGGGTGAGTCCATCTCTGAATTTGCTATACAATTGAAAACCTAGCGTCCACATGTGAGTTTAAAACATTCTTGGATGATGCATTGAGGGATAAATTTTTGTGTGGTATAAAGTCTAGTGATGTACAGAGTAGACTACTGGCGGAGGGAGATTCTTTAACCTTTGATAAAGCCCTTCAACTTGCCTTATTGTTGGAGGATGCAAACAGGAATGCTAAAAGCCTCCATCCACAAAACACAGGGGGTTGGACTTCTGGTGAAGTCAATATGTTAAGTGGCAGTAACAATGGTAAGCCTAAAAACTTGTATAGACCTAGATATAATGAAACAGGCCAGCGACCTGCATATGTAAATTCTACGCGCCAATGTACATGTTGTGGACAAGGACATGGGTTTAACAGTTGTCCGTATAAAGAGTATAGCTGTCATACTTGTAAAAAGACGGGTCACCTTTCAAGAATGTGTAGGAGTAGGTCAGCGAATAAGTATAAGCCTAGGCCTAGCGGTAGGGTATACATGTGTGATGAGGAGTCGGATAATAGTCATGACGACTCCCCGGATGATGAGCCAGATTGTAAAAAGGAGTATTCGTTATACAACATAGCGTATTCAGACAATGTAGATCAGGTTAATAGCTATAAAACGAAGTTGCTAATAAACGAAGTGCCTGTGAGCATGACAATTGATACCGGGGCAGTGGTTTCGGTCATGCCCGAAGATGTTTTTGATAAATTATTTGAAGGTAAATCTAACAAACCTAACCTTTCCAGGAGTGAAGTTCGTCTGAAAACTTATACTGGTCAAAAGATACATGTTGTGGGCGAGTTTCAGGCAAAGGTTGCGTCTCGCTGGGAAAATCATGTACTTCCTATGGTGGTGACACGCAGCGAAGTTCCTAACCAGCCTATTTTGCTGGGTCGTAACTGGATGAGTAAATTACAACTGGATTGGAAAAACGTAACAAGCGGAAGACAAAGTGACTCAGTACAACTGGTTAGCGGTAAGAAGTCTCCAGTATTATCTATCATTAATGATCTGAAGAAAGAATTTCAAAATGTTTTTGAACCCGGGATTGGGACTATTAAAGACATTGAAGTCGAACTTGTATTGAAAGATGAAGCGGTGCCTGTTTTCTGTAAGGCTCGCAGTGTGCCTTATGCACTTAGAGATGCTTTAGAAAAAGAAATTGAAAAATTGATAAGTAATAATGTTATTTATCCTGTAACACAAACCAACTGAAGTACACCTGTGGTGGTGGTCCCAAAATCAAATGATGAAGTGCGTCTCTGCGGAGACTTTAAGGTTACCCTTAACCGTTGGTTACGTACCGACTATTATCCATTGCCAACAGCAGAGGATATTTTTGCTAGTATACCAGGCTCAAAAATCTTTTCTAAATTGGACTTATCGGCAGCCTACAATCAGCTGCAAGTTAGCCAGCGTTCTCAAGAACTTTTGACAATCAACACCCATAAGGGCCTGTACCGATACAGTAGGCTTCCGTTTGGGATTACCAGTGCAGGAGCAATATTTCAATCAGTAATGGACAAAATCCTGGGCGACCTTCCAAAGGTTTTTTGTTATCTTGATGACATATTGGTGGTAGCAAGGACCGATGAGGAAATGTATAGTACGCTCAAATCTGTGTTGACTCGCCTCCAAAAGTATGGTGTTAAGGTAAACGCTACGAAGAGTGAGTTTTTTAAACATAGCCTGATTTTTCTAGGCCATAGGCTAGAAGCAGATGCGATTCGCCCAAGTGAAGAATTAACGAGCGCTATCGTTAAAACACCTAGGCCTGAGAACCTAACCCAACTTCGAGCCTTCCTTGGTCTTATAAATTATTACTCACGTTTTTTACCAAATTTGTCAACTTTACTTCACCCATTATATCAATTGCTAAACAAGGACACAAAATGGCATTGGTCCAAAGATTGTGAAAACGCCTTTGTCAAAGGTAAGGAATTGCTTTTAAGTGACAGAATTTTGATTCCGTTTAACCCTAAGTTGGACCTAGTCGTGACTGCTGACGCAAGCCCATATGGTGTGGGTGCTTTGATTTCGCACAGGTTGCCTGACAATTCGGAACGGCCAGTTGCTTTCGCTTCCAGGACTCTATCTCCACAAGAACAGAGGTACCCTCAGATTGAACGTGAAGCCTTAGCACTTGTTTTCGCAGTAAAGAAGTTTCATACATTCCTGTTATACTCCTGTTAACTATTATACCCCTGCCTCAACCACAAATCCACCAAGAAGTCCTATCTAGCCCAGTCCATGACAGATCTCCCCAGAACAGACAGTCACTATTGAAATCCCCAGTGACTGATGTCATTAACCATCAAATCCAGAAGGAAGTTCAGCCTGAGAAAGGGAAGCGCATAGGCCCTCGTTCACCTACTGAGACGGTGCGTCGATCACAACGTGAGCGGCGTCCTCCAGTAAAATTTGATTTGTAATTAGGAGAAGAAGAGCTCCTCCCATGTATATAGAGATATTTATTTTGGTTACTGTTTGAAGAAGAATTTTTGGTTACTGTTTGGAGAAGAATTTTTGGTTATTGTTTGAAGAAGAATTTTTGGAAATTATTTTAAAGTTAGTGGGGAGGAGTGTTATAGATCAAGAAGTTATTTATGTTAGTTATGATTTTGTTATATACGTCTTACATCCAAATGTTGCGAAGTAACTATATTTAGAAGGCCTAGAACCATGACGTCACCAATAGGACTGAACGAGGAGATCGACAGTTGAAGTAATGCAGCAGGTTAGTAAGCAAGCTAATAGTGTCTTCTCTTGTGTGATTCTAAAATGCAATAGTGCCCAAACCAGCTTCTTGCATTGTTGAACAGTTCATCTGATTTCGCTGCCGCTTCAAGAGGGTGTTGTCCCCTGCCACAGAGAGTTGTGTCATCGGCGTATAGGAGGGTTTCATCATCACTACCAAGGTCATTCATCAGGATCAAGAACAATGAAGGCCCCAAAATCGATCCCTGTGGGACACCATGGTCCATCTTAGCTGGAGCAGAGAGAGCCCCCTGTATGGCCACCATCTGGCTCCTCTCACAAAGATAGGAGTCTAGTGTTTTGAGCACAATCCCACCTAACCCATATCGAGCCAGCTGCTGAAGAAGAATACTGTGGGAGACAACGTCAAACGCCTTTGACAGATCACATAGGACAATGGACATGGAATGCTTGTCCTCAAAGGCATTTTGTATTCCTTTCACTGGGGAGATGAGAGCTGTAGCGGTTGATTTTCCTTTACGGAAACCATGTTGTGAATTTGAGAAAAGATGGTTAGTCTCAAAATAGTCTACAATTTGGTTTTGCATGATTTTTTCAAGTATTTTTGCCAAACAGGGAATGATGGATATCGGTCTGTAGCTCGATGCAGCGTTTACATCTCCTTTCTTGAAGATAGGAACAGTTCTTGAGATTTTTAGACAATCAGGAAAAACACCCGTTGACAGACAGCAATTTATAGCCTTACAGAGGGGTTGAGCAACAGCTTCTATAATATGCTTCAAGATGTGTGGTGTAAGACCATATATGTCTGGACTGTAGGAGTTTGAGAAGTTCTTAGTAATTCTAATAATTTTTGCTGAAGTTGTAGGTCTCCATTTCAAGAAATTGTGTTGTGCCACAGGCACCGCTAGAGCAGCAACGGAACTGTCAGGTTGCATGTCATTAACAATGTCATCTACAGTACTTACAAAGTAGGAATTAAATTCATCAGGGCTTATTTGACTACTAATGGTTGCTCTTGATTTTCTAGATTCGTTTATGACACTCCAAGCTGCCTTACACTTGTTATTGGAGCGCTCAATTTTATGTACAGTATGCAGCTTTTTGGCAGCATCTACTTCAACCTGATAGTTACGCTTTGCCTTCAAGTATAATGCATATAACCTATCTCTTCGCTCTACTGACGCTTCCGCTTTATACTTGTCAAATATCAGCTGGACAAGCAACCTAAATTTACCAAGCTCAGCTGTATACCAATCATTTGATAGTTTCTTGGTCTTTTTTGGTATAACAATCACTCTAGGCCTAACTGTCATAGGGAAAAAGGTGTCAAACACTTCTACAAATTTATTGTGAAATTGTTGGAGAATGTCTCCGTCTTCCTTTAAATTTAGGACCTCAGACCAGTTTACGTTACTCAAGGCCTCTTTGAAGGAGGGTGGAACATCTTCATTAATAGGTCTTCTATAGGATAAATAATTCATATGCCAAGATGGAATAGTTGGAGTCTCACTTACCCTCTTTTTCCACACGGTTGTTTGAACAGGTGCGTGGTCCGCAATGATGGACGAAAGGACATTGGTGTTGTAGTCTAGAGTATCAAGATTTGTCACAACTGTATCCAGGCATCTGTCTCCCCTCGTCGGCAAGTAGTTCGTTATATAAAGACCTTGCCCCCGAAGTAGCTCCTCAAGGTTTTGGGTGGGAGCTGTAGGGCTGTTGAGAGCAATGTTAAAATCACCACCAAGTACAATGTTTTTAGCTGGTCTAATATTGGTCAGGTAACAGAGGCATTTATCCAAGGTGTAAAAGAAAAATTCCAGATTTCCGGTCGGAGGGCGATACACGGAGATAATTAAAATATCGAAATCATGGAGTGTAACTCCGCAAAGTTCAATGTTCATTTCCGAGCAATAGGCATTCAAATTAAGTGGTTCAAAATCTAATTCATGATGCAAATAGAGAGATACACCACCATTCTTGTGTTGAGTTCTGAAATAACCATTTACATGCACTAAATTACCAATGGTTTTATAATAGTCTATTTCAACAGAGTCTAACCAATGTTCACTTATTCCTAGTACAGCAGGCATGTGCTCACTTTCAAAGTTGGAGATTAGGTTGAACTTTGTTCTCATGCATTGGATTTTCATGAAAACTATCTTAAGTGTAGGCTTATCTTCAGAATAACTATGGTAACTAACGTGTGGACTAGAGTACTGCTCCTCAGAAGCCCAAATTGGGTCGTGACATCCCTGGTGTGATTGGTACCAACGTCAAGACAACTCTAAAATCAGTTGGAAAACAGGAGTGGCTATTTATCTCTAGACTTCAACCATCTACAACGACTACGGATGTTTCCAACTTCCTCACAAGTGAAGGTATCCAAAATGTTGAATGTACAGAACTGAAGAGTAAGTACAATTCATACAAATCCTTTAAAGTAGGTGTGTGTAAAAACGATTTTGACAGGGTTCTAACCTCAAGAGTTTTGGCCAACAAACATATTTGTAAGGAAGTGTTTACCAGCCAGACCTAGCAGACACAATAGGCCTAGGCCTACACAAATTGAGTCCCGGATTTTTTTAGGGAAACAGAAGCATCCACTAGCCTCAGTGGGGTAGTCATACCAAATGATCCAAGCTCCCTAATTATTGGTCACTTGAATGTCCAATGTTTGAGAACCAAATTTGACAGTGTTGAAATCTTTGCTGATGACGAAAACTTGGATATTCTCTGTGTGTCTGAGCATTGACTGGTACATGATGAGGTTATGTACTACCATAGTATTAGTAACATGACTATGGCCACAAGTTTCTGTAGGAGTACTGCAAAAAATGGTGGTGTTGCACTTTACATAAATAAAGAACTGACTTTCACTACGATTAATTTAGAAGATTTCTGTGAAGAAAAAGTCTGTGAAGTAGCTGCCATCCGAGTTGCGGACTTCGACCTTGTGGTCGCATCTGTGTATAGGTCTCCTATCAATGCTCTATTTGATAGTTTTTGCGAGATCTTTGAGAAATGTATTATTTATTTGTCTTCTTTGTCTTGTAATCTTGTTGTTTGTGGTGATTTTAATGTTGACATATTGTCCAGCTCCAGTGAGGAGAAAACTTTCAAGCTTCTGACAAGACAGTGTGGCTTATTTATTACCAACGAAATCCCAACCAGAGGGAACTCATGCCTCGACATCATCCTTACATCGCTTCCGCAGGAGAGGTACAGTTCGAAAGTTCTTGTCCCACACATCTCCGATCATGATGCCGTGGTAGTAAATGTCAACACTTCATCGGTGAGTACACCCACTGTTTTCCCCTGGCATGCAAATTATGTTTTCTCGCATAGACAAAATCTCTCAAAACCTGAGGCTCTGCTTAGCTTTAAGGGTCGTCTCAGGGCAGTAAGATGGGATTGCATTTTTGACCTACAAAACCCCGATGCATGGTTCGATGTGTTTTTTGATACCTTACAGGACCTCTTTGACGAATGCTTCCCTACCACAAGCAAAAAAGGTAGACCTACAGGTAAACTCAAGTATAAAAATTCATCTAAGGCAAGACAAAAAGTGAGAGACTGGTGCTCACCTAACCTAACCGACTTGAAAACCCTGATGATGGCCCTTCGAGACAGAGGGGATGTTCATAATTACCTGGCCCTGAAAAGATTTTATAATAAAAAAGTTGAGGAAGCCAAACGGTTGGCCAATGTCCGTTTCATTGAAAGCTCGCAAAACCGATGCAAAGCAGCCTGGAGTGTGGTTAATAGTGTGAAACCCCAAAAGCCTAAAAAGCCCATGGCGAGTCCAGATGATTTCAACACCTTCTTTGTCTCGTCTGTTGAAGAAATTATCTACAACATCCCAGATAGCCCCCAAGACCCGTTGGCTTATGTCGGAAGGCGTGTGGAAGAGCTCCACTGTTCCCTTGACAGATGGAATCCCATCTCAGAAAAGGAGATACGGACTCTAATCTCTGGACTCGAAAGTTCCAGAGCATGTGACTGTTTTGGCTGGTCATCCCAATTACTGAAAGATGTAGCTGATGACATCTCTGCCCCCCTGACTACAGTTATCAACAGGTGCTTGTTGAGAGGTGTTTTTCTGGACAAGCTAAAGAGAGCCAAGACCATTCCAATATACAAAAAAGGTGATCATGCCAGTATCTCGATACTACCTGTGATTAGTAAGGTGATAGAGACGGTGATGAAGAATCAGTTGTATACATACTTTGAAACACATCAGCTGTTTTCAGACTCACAGCACGGTTTCCGCGCAGGGAGATCTACCTCGTCTGCGATTGCCAGGATTGCAAGAGAAGTTGGCGAGGCCTTTGAAGCTGGGGAGTCGGTAATGCTAACACTCTGTGACCTCAGCAGAGCCTTTGACTGTGTATCCCATGATATCCTGCTCAAAAAACTCAGCAGATATGGCGTTGGTAGTGTGGTTCTCTCCACCTTCAAGAACTACCTAGCCAACAGAACCCAGAGGGTAATACTCGAAGGCGCAAGCTCTCTAGAACTGGAGGTGAACCAGGGGGTTCCCCAAGGATCTGTGCTGGGACCTCTTCTATTCCTGGTCCTCATCAATGACATCGACGAGACCAGCAGCTCTATACTATTTGCGGATGATACCACGCTTCTCACTAAAGGGCCAAACCTACACCACACTAGGGATTTAGCCATAATCCAGGTCCAAGAAGCTAAAGCATGGTTCCAGATGAATAAGCTGCAACTGAATGGAGACAAAACCCAGAGACTCCTTTGTACCCTCTCAAGAGACTCCTCGGACGACATGGCTGCAGTAAAACCTCTCGGTTTCCAGCTGGACAGCCGACTCGACTGGAATGACCATGCTGCCCATGTTGCCACACGGCTTGCGAGAGTCACCTGTCTCCTCAGGCGCCTCCGGAAACGTGTCACGGAGCAGTACCTGCTCATGGTATACCATGCCCTGTTTCATTCGCACATTGCGTATGGACTACACCTTTGGGGTCAAGCGTCGGAAGTGGAGGAAGTCTTAAAGCTTCAAAAAGCGGCAGTCCGTATAATCTCAAGGAGCCCTTTTAGAGAACACTGCAAACCGATATTCAAGAGACTTGGAATTCTAACCGTCTGCAGCCACTACATCTACGCCTGCCTGGAAGAAATCAAATGCAGTGTTCCTCTTCTCAACACCAGAAGCCACATCCACGCCCATAGTACCAGAGCTAGGCAGAATCTTGATGTTCCCCGTGCGAGATTGAGCAGGACGCTCAATTCCTTCCCTAAGTCAGCCATCATGTTCTTCAACAGACTCCCTTCCAGCATTCGATGTCTGGACGACCGGAAGTTCAAGAGTGCTGTGAAAGACTTGATGATCAATAGACCATACTACAAAGTAGAGGATTTCTTTAAAGACAATTTGGAGCGGGACAATTAATTTTTTGTACCGCCTACTGCCTGCCCGCCATGTTTAATATACAGTTTTATTTTATATGTGCGTGTAGTCTTTGTTTTTCTGTATTTTTTCCGTATTAAACAACGACGCAGTCTATTCCCTCACCAGAGGGTCAACGACGAAGGCCAATGAATAATGAATAATGAATAATGCTTATTACCTTCCGCTACTGCAGTGGTCTGTGGTTGATGGTTGGTCTCTTGAACAAAAAACGTTTCAGTGTAGTGTACTTAGGCCACATTGAACCATCCTGAAATTTGTCTCGATGTTCAAAACCAACTCCAAGTTTAAAGCTACAGTTTAGTCCCTTGGTTTCTAGCTTTTCAAACAATGCAATCCACATTAGGAAAAGAACTATGAATGTATTTACTTACGTCTTCAGCCGTTGTACCAGCCTTAACCTTACTTAAGTGAAACCAGGCCCTTTTCTCGCCACTCAAGATTGCACTTTCCTTAGACTCACTAGTGCCAATGATGGGCCTAGTTTGTCTAGAAGGAGTAGATTTTCTCCCCTTAATCACAGCTTCCCTGTATGATTTATTTTGTTCTTTGTCCGGCTTCAGATGGGTATTCTTTGACCCCAGGCTAGGGATGTCGTGGTTATTTTTAATGCCAGAGGTGTTTCCACGTCCTTGTTTATGAGCAGGCACTTTCTGCCACTTATTAGTGTTCTCTTCTTGATCGTCACCCTTGTTGCAATTTAGGTTAACAGCAGCTTCTCGTAGATGTTGAGTTTCACTAACACTAACCAAAGAGTACGAGATCGTTTTTTCACTTCCACTACTACTAGGTTGAGATAGCTCGCCATTTTGATTTCCAGAGCCTTCCTCTTCCTCTCCCTCGTCACTGTTTTCGTTTCGATTTTCGGAATCGGTAGTCGATTTTCCACTGCCGTCTGATTCGGTGTGTGGGTTTCCATTCGGTGTTTCTTCAGGGCCCGAAACTTCTTCTTCCCCATTTTTCGAAACTTCTTCTTCCCCATTTTTTTCCAACCTTTTCGAGACTTCCGGCTGTCTGCATGTCACATTTTTCCTTAACCTAACTTCAGCATTCTCAATAGCATTTAACCTAACATTAAGGGATTTATTATCCTTCGTCAATTCTTCCATAGTAATAATGAGCTTATTCATTAAAATATTGATATTAATCAGTTCCTCTGTGCTCAAGTCAAGTGTTCTTAGCTTAGCTAACCTGGTTGTGCATCCATCACACATCCACATCACTGAATCTTTAAACTCATATATCATACGATATTTCTTGTCTTCAAGGTCAATACATTTTGCGTGAAACCACTTTTTACAAAATTCTTCACACAACAACGCTTTATCCCGCTTTTCAACAAATTTTTCACAGCTAGCACAGTTCTCGTCAACTTCAACATTTTTTTACTGAAGTATGTAACTTGTGAGTATGAAAAGGATTATGCAGCTTAACATAAAGATATTTCTACAGAACCTATAATCCTCA